ACATCACCATACTGTTTATCTTTCAGAGAGTGTTGATTTGTTTTACTCAAACTAGGAAGCTTATTTGATGCTTACGAGCAGAAAGGAAACGACGAAAGAAGTATCTGTGCATTTCATTTTGTGCATAAAGACAGACAGTTAGAAACAAACACCATCCCTGCCGTTAATGCATATTCCTAGATTTTCGCTGAGTTATGTCTCTTCTTTATCTTTTGATAAATATGGATTTGTACCTGAAAATGACATGATGACACCATCAAACAGACAGAGTTTCGTTGGCCGCTGCTTTTTGCGAAGAATTCTTTTTGTTTCAAACTGTTTGAAAACTGAAAGTTTAGCGATTTCATCACCAATAGCTGCTACCATGATGTGATGGTTGAACTTGCATATCACAACAAAGCAACGAACTACACTCACTGGAATGAACCTTCCTGAAGGTCCAACCATTCCAGGCAGGTCGTTTGGATAATACCTGGACTGAAAACAGTCACCATTATAGTGTAAGTTATTTGCACTATAGCGGAAAGACTGTGGGTGAAGTCATATTGCTGGCGAAAAAGAGTTTAACAATGATTAGGCATTTCCCTCAAATAACCTGCAAGTCACCTATTCTGCATCTCCGCTAGAATAGGACGAGGGTTAGGAAAGATCGACAGCAGAAACTGTAAAACCTGAATTGTCTTAGGAAATTGCATAGCCGGTGGTAAGACGTTAATATGAACACAACTCCAAAACTGCTTTTAAAGAGGCCGTATCTTACCAGCTTCATTTAGGTGTTTCCCTGGAGTTCTGGGGTTGTGCAACACTAATGCTCCTTTTGCTTCAAGTACTCCATGAAAAAACTGATTTACATGGTGTGGGCGTTCAGAATGCAGTAATCATCAATACACTTCTGTGGACAAGAAAACCTTCCGCGATCATCACACCTAATCTCCTTTTGTATCTAAGATGTATCTTCAGCTGATGAAAACTAAACTACTCAATCAAATTCAAGGGGTTTTTTGCTGACACTGTATTACTAATCTGAATGAAATAGAAGCCGAACGAACCAACAGACATTCGATTCATTAAATACTGTTTGAAATCGAAATTGAACACGTTGTACGACGACATAAATACTCACATGATCTCTTCTTTCAAAACTATAGGTTTAAAATTGATATAAGTATAAAACTTGGGCACTGTGGTAGAGTATAACTCCATTATGGATAAGATTTTATTTTGCCAAATCATGCGGTGTTTTACAGTAATAATAGTTGATGACGTTTAGAGCACAAATTACCGCTCATCATGTAGGTGTAAAAGTATATCGAATGCTCATAGAGAAGTAAATAACAAATCCCAAGTATCTTCTCCTTATTATTGCTGCTGACTACATTCTATCGGTCAAGTTTACGCCCCATGTTCACTAAATAAACTGAATCGTCAAAAGTGCAGTAGTTCCATCAGGGTTTCACATAGGCGTTGCTAATGAGCATGCTAATAAGCATGATATCTAAATTCACGGCTTTACGCCAATCAGTTGCAAGTGTTGTGTTTTGAATCTCTTATTCAGACTATAGGATTTCTGATGATTTCGTATTAACTTCAGCTTTTATATTCCTATCAAGAAAGTAAAAATCATTTAGAGTGTTCACTGGAAACCAGTAAGCGCAGAATAGGATTTTCCTCCCACACTAAAACCCACCAGTACGTACCCCCTACCTCACCAAACACCGAAGCCAGACAGGATCTTCAGATTCCGAGACCGACCTCGTTGTTTAACGGATTATTCATTTCTAAAATCCTCCCTGAATGATACAATCACAAATTTACTACTTATTTGGACATTTCAAATAACTTGGTAATCATTGTTTATTTTATTCCTGAACTGTATATCATTGTGAGGAAATTTGCCTATCATCTGGTGTCTTAATCCTCATTATTTATCTTGGTTCATTTCGTCCCTAATTTTAATGCTTCTTCTTGTTGTTATCTAATGGTTTTGATAATGTGTTGTTTCGTTTGATTGACTGAGTGAGTGAGTGAAGATCACTCTGAGGTTGGACTGTCAGCGTGAATTATTTGGTGTGTGATTCTTGTGGACAAAGCTTTTGATCTCATCTTTTTGGGAATATTCTAATCAATTCTGAGGTATTTCTGAGGACTGGTTTTTAGTTGACTAGTTTTGGTGTACAGTACCTACTTTGTAAGTGAGTAATTATTGCGTTGAATAAGTACTTTACAACAGTGTTGAGGTAATTTTGAGTTTTGATATAAATTATTATTGATTAATAGTACCCCAGAATTGATCTCAAAAATTTTGTTTTTACTGTAGCTAGAGTATTTTTTGACTGTTCACAACTGCTCATAACTCTGGTTATCTATATAGTATAACGTGAATGTTGGTTTCCAGCGGTCTACCAAGAGGACGTTGGTTTCTTTGTTACCAACTCGCCTTTCAGTCACCTGGGCTTCAATCTTCATCTAACTGATGTCGATTCATGACGTGAATTATGCAGAAATCCCTACAAAGCCTATATTCTGAATATTAGTCTCTAGCTCCTTCATGGTTAGCAGACATATTTTCTGAAGCTATGGTGTGGTGTCATGATCAGTGGTGCTCATATCCATCATGTCGAGGAGAGGTTCATTTACGAGCTCCCTTTGTAACCAGAAAAACCTGGTTCAAAAAACAGTAGGTGAGTACTAATAAAGAGTCCCAAACAAGGACGAAACAGTTGTCTAGTATGTTTAGGTTTTCCAATGGTCCTCTAACTGATATCAGCTCATGAGGAAATCCTGAAAGCAATCAAATTCTCGCAAACCAACGCTTGAATGTCAAAAAGAATTGGATTCTCATCGAAACTATTGGTAAGAGCAGTGTTAAATCACGAGTTTTGCGAAATCAGAATTCAGGAGTCACTGAATTCAAGCCTAACTGACTGAATTGTCAACCATCTTCGCCTCACAACCTTGAGGTTCTGGCTTCGATACCTAGTGGATTCATGGGCGCATTCCGATGACGTGTCTCAGTATAGGATGAAACAGCAGTTCACTGCTCCCTGGTTGTTGCTTCATGACAAAAATCTAACAAGTGAAATCATTAGTCTGCGTGATAATTTTGCTTGAGATACAGTTTTCTTTTCAATAACATTACCAGTCTTTTATTGGTTCCTCCATAGTTGGGAAAAATGGAATATGCCTAGAGTGCAGTTAAGATTAATTTTTAGCTTTTCGAAGTAATAGACATCCTTTTTCTTTTACCCCTTTTTACAGAATGTTTATGAATAACAACAATTGGAAACGATTATTTCGCGATACGAGTTTAAAACCAGCAACGAAAGGTGTTAATAAAGCAGGATTTAATGAATTCAACGAATTTCAGTAGAACTCTTCAGTTGAATATTATACAATCAAGGATATGTACACATATACTATTGAAAACACACTGACAGACAAATGACACTTCAAACTGCTTATATCAATTCGCGTGTGTTTGTGGAAACAAACCCATAGGTACTTCAGAAAGGCGAATGTCTACTCGTATGATGGAGTGATTGAAAACACTTGAATTCAAACAGCCAAAAAGCTCAATAACAAAACATCTTGTTGACTACGGACACTGTTGATACCGACATTGTCAAATCATTCATTGTTGTCAGAAGACAAAATAACACGAAGATGCCTGCTACTGCTGGAGCTTGTGCGATTCGAGTTTATAAATCCAGTCTCTGTGTACAAAAGGAAATGGTCATCACTCTGAATCTACCATGGGAATACATTTTACTTATTAAGTGTTATTATTATCGATGCTTTATTCTACCTCATTACTATTATTGTTAGTGATTCATTTAGAACTATATTCGCTCGATACTGAAGATCACATTGCCGACCAAAAAACATCAGCAACAGGCATCTCTGGCAATGAGAGAACCAAACCACCAGGAGACAATTAGGCAACAGGAACGTGTGCAGGAAGAAATGGAGGTGGATTGGCCATACTCTGAGAACAAAACAAATCATCAAGTGAGTGACATCACACGTTAGGCCATCACTCTAGTGGAGCCTGAATGGGAAGAGGCGAGTTGGTCTTCGGTGCAATGGTGACATGGAGTCGATCATGCGAAAAGGAGATAAAAGGATGTGGGCAGAGGTGGAGCCAGATGAAAACGTTGGGAGGAGAACCGAACGCAATGGAGACGTGCTGTTGAAGTTCAATTTTCCTCTAGGAACTGAAGTCAAAAATAATTTGTCAGCGGTATTATCTTAAGTCTCTTCAGCATTGTTAATAATTATCACTAATACTAATAATATTAGCCAGTTCGCAATTCTTAACATATTTAACCTCCGTCTCTAATGATTAATTGTTTATCTAAGTAATGCAATTGAAGCGTAATGCATTTTATTTCAATTTCAGTCTCTAATACCCCCTTTCCCTCATATATTTAAACGTGAACACGTGTCGTTTTGCGTGATAAATTCAATGTAGTTTATTTACTTATCAATTTTATATCTCCCACTGAGCTCTCTATAGTATATATACGCATATATCCCTGTAGGTATAGTAATCAACTGAAGCGTTCCACCAAAATCAGATGAATTCATAAAGAATCCTGCCTTTATTAACATCTTTTGTTGCTTGTTTTAAATAACCATAATATTTTGATTTGATACTAGTAACTAGTATGATGTCTCTAGTTTGGTGTAGACTGAATTCTATCAGTCAGGTTGTAATGCGGCCACCATTCTAGGTAGCTAGCCATCATAGTGCTCATAGCGAGGCCGAATAGCTCAGTGATGACGTCTCTGACTGCAGCACTTACTCGGGCGACGCGGGTTCGAATCTCAGAAGGGACATGAGTTCCTTCAAGATCGCAGATACGCCTCGCTGACTGGTGAGTGCCAACTAGCATGAAACCTAGGTTCAAGGCTTCCTGCTGATTACCTTCAACCATCAAATAACCACAGTAAAAGCAAACGTGAAGAGACAAGATTAAATTTGCATTGATATTTATTTACCCACTACGAATCATACAGTAGTCATATATATATAGTTCAGTGAACACCAATCACACATATACTACTTCCAATAATGATTAACACATTAAATTGATTATATTAATAATAATAATATTAATAGGGATATGTGATAAGGCAATAAAGACACGTATGATATGTACCAAACTCATTTTTGTATTATTATAATCACATCAGCTGACGAATAGATACATTAGTTAGAACAATATACATGCATACATGTATACTTTTTACACATCTAATTGTCCATTTCAGAAATCATGAAAGGGTAAACTGATTTTTTTAAAATTACCTAATGAAATGTAAATATAATTACAAATACGCACAATTACACACACACAAAGGGAGAAAGGGAGAGAAAGAGGGACATATGAAATAACAATAAATCACTGGCCTTTAATTTAATATCTGTTTACCTGTATTTTGGAAATATTTTTGTACAAAAATGTATAAATGTTGTTCGAAATTGATGGGACATTGAACAATATAATATGAAATTAATACCATTATTAACGATGGTCAACAGATCCATAAAATCGCCGAGTGCATTGTATACTGTATCAGTGAAACAATTGCCTAAAAATCCGCTTAAAAATAATAAGATTGCCTATTTGAAAAAAAAGAAGAAAGGAAGGGAGAAACAAGGAGAAATTATATCATTTTATTATTAAATTGTATCGTTTTATAAGACTAGTAAGTGATTTAAAAAAATCTCTTTATTGATATAATTTTGTAACCAGAGGAAAATTAAAATAATCCACTAAAATGACATTATGCAGTCAACTGGTGGAGGGTGACTATCAGTGGAACCCAAGATGCGCATTTCGTCCAATTCGGAACTCATCAACTGAATGTACCTGCTTCCCCATTAAGTGACATGGTTCCCATCGAGGTTTGAACCCAGTACCGTAGTTTTACACAGTAAAGCATTATCCACTAGACGACTTGGGTATAAGTGGAACACAATCACTCACGGGGGGGGGGGGCGGCGGGTGCATGTATATCCAGGTGACCAGTCTCACATAGGGTGAAATGTGCATCGTGGATTTCACTGCTAGTCACCGCCCACCAGTCGACTTCACGTTCAATGACCAGACATCATCGAATCATCTGCACAAGGGGCTTACATGTCAACCTGACACCGAGCACTTCGTTCCATTCAACCAACAGAAAACCTATACTGAATTAAATAAAATGATATCATGTTAACAATAGCAGGTTTAATTACCGTGTATCTATACACTTACCTCCCCCTGTGGAGTCAATGTCATCAGTGAATATTTTCCCTGACGCTCAACCTGTTGGACTTCTATGCCAACAGAATCCAGTGGCGAATGAACTCCGACTTCCTCCGATTCGCGATTTTAGCTCTACCACTAGAGAACGGGTGAAAGATGGAATTCATAAGCTATTGAATTAAGTCGCAGTGGCCGAATTTGTTTTTTCGTGTAACCGGAAGATCCATGGTGCGTACTACTGATGACTTGCACGCTAGAAAGAAACAAATATGCAGCACTCTTTGGCGTTCAATGTTTCTTCAACTGACATCATACTGTGATCAAACTTACAATTAGAGAATCCTTGGATATTTTTATGGTATTTTGGCAATTTACAGCAATAGGATAGCATTTCTGTACAAGAAACCAATAAAACTTGAGACCTTTAGGTTTTCAGACGAAGACGTTAATCATTCAGTCACTGGCTACCGGCAACAAAATGTCTCATGAATTCAGACTTCTGGAAAATTGGCGGTGTACTGACACTGCTAGAAAGTGACTAGAACTCTAGAATATCCACCCTGAAGCTAGGCATTAGTGTATAAAACATTAATATTCAGTCATGTAACCTGTTAGTCTAGGATTCACTTCCTGGTAAGGTAAAGTGTAAGTACTACTGAAGGCTTCGAAATTAGAGAGGTACGTCTGTCCATAACTATTTGGTTTTTCGAATGATGTTTTAACATTTTTGCAGCTTATCATTCGCTACAATTTATGTACTTCTAAAAGCATCTGATCACAATCTCCAGCATGACTATCAGTAGAACGTTAAACTTCACAAACTAGGTAAATTCATATGCACTTGATGAATTCAGGTCATTCAGTTTTACGAGAGTCCTCTTTTAAAATTGTTAACGATACAAGTTGGGATGACATATGAGTTATTTTCTCCGCAAATGTTTGCTTGGCAGGGTTTATAACGAGTTGTCAATTCAACCCCGAAATCTGTGTACACATAAAATGTTTGCTTAACCACTTACCGTAGTGTGATGTTCAGCTGCTTACCTGATGGATTCTGCTATCCATCGAACATAAATTGTTAATTTTGCTCATCTTATAAGATGGTTTCTTTCCTGACACTCTTTACTCTTACCAGTTAGACGCTCATCCAACAGTTTTCATGAAGTTGAATTTCAAACCTTGTTGTCAAATATTACATGCCTTTTTCGAACTTTAGACGCTCTTTCCTCTTATTCGGTTTTAGTAAGTTGAAGTACGGTTTAACACCCACTGACGGTGACTCTGTCGATATACAAAAAATGTTTTGTTATCTGGATTGTCAGTGTTGGCCTCATTAATGTGTATCTATCAATGCATCTTCTTCAGTGGAACTAGATATGTTGACAGGACTCATATTTTGCTATCCAAGACCCTTCAGCAGGATCTCCAACCTGCGGCACCTGGTCGAATCTGGATGCCAAACGAATCTGAAAACCAACTTCAAAGTTATCTAAAGAATACGCAGTTGTCTAACTAAATGCATATGAATCAAACTCCTTCAAACCAATAAAGTGATGCCTGTTCACATGTGAAGTCCTAAATTCTGTATACAGAAAAGTTTGATTGAATTTGAGATTTTTTCGTCGATTGATTCTACCAAAGTGCTCGGTGTCAGGTCGACATGTCCACTTCCTGTGCAGTTGTTAATTGGTGGATGGTGACTAGCAGTGGAATCCAGGATGGGCATTTCGTCCTATTTTGGACTCGTCATCTGGATGTTCCTGCATTCCGCAGTGAGTGATGATGTTCTCATCGAGGTTCGATTCAGTTAACATAACCCATTGCACAAGAGGTACCTGCTGTGGCCCAAGTCGTCTAGTGGATAACACTGTGGTGTTTTTGAAACTTTGGGCACTGGGTCTTTTGATTCTATTAATTTGTGTCACCTATACCCTCCACCGGATATCTAGCACGTGTGGCTAACTTGACTCGCGTTCAATCTTAATTAAATTCTAGTGAATCGTATCAGTAATAGTAAGTCACTTAATTTACTTTTCAACCCAACTAATGCTTCCGACATTGCATAATTGGTATGTACAATTTAAAGTTCTAATAACGCCTTTTGAAAATATTCCTTTCGTTGCTAAGAGAATTCTGAAAGGAGTAACTCTTTTTGCTATACATCTTTTATATGACTCATTCAGGGATTCTTAAGTCATTTAGACATCAAAACATCTGTCTTAGGAGCCGTTATATGTGTCACCAGAAACTAAACATTTCCATCTGATATGTAATCAATCCACAGGAGAGATAGGAACTGTCTAAAACCATTTGAAATAATCTCAGATCAAATAAAACAGGCTGAGACCAGTTCGCACTAATTAAAGGGGTAAAGGGCTGAGGCAGAACAGTCATTTGAATGCTATTGGACAACCTAAAAGCCCGATTTTATGCAGTCAATATAAGTGGTTATTTATAACCTTCACTTCTTGAAATATGTAGTATTAATTAGCATAATAATAAAATCGAATTATTCCCACCGGATCAGAACAGTCTGTCTTTTTGTCTTAATTCGTAATTTACATCCTGAACATCAGAAATTATTGATGGGCAGTTTTAAAATTGTACTCTTAAGTCAGAAGTATTATGATTTCATTATTCATTTAGTAGGATAGTAGAAAATAACTTAAACCTTTCTTGATATTTCAACGAATTTGTCAGTGGTATGTTAGAACGAATAATTACCAAAGTATTACAGTATAATTGAAATTCGCTCAGTTATATTAAATTAATTGAATAACTTTCAAGAGTTGGTTTATAAGGAATAAATTTGTTTTTAGGAGTTTGATCAGTCGAAAAAAAAACAAATTTAATCCATCTATTAGGGAACGAGGACGGAATTCCCACCGATGACATTGGTTGATGGCTGTGCTAAGTCATGAATTGGTAGAAGTTAGAATTCATGGACTGGCTATTAAATCAGGTCCCAGTGGCTGAATGTTATACGAGCTTGACTTGTAACCTGAAGGTCTTCGATTCGAACCCTAGTGGTGGGTGCGTACTTTCGATGATTTCCAAACTTGGATTAAACAGCTGCCCTGTACTCCCTGGTTTTCACCAGTCCTTTAACTGATATCAATCCGTGGTCCAACTCGTAACTGAATAATTTAATAAAATCTGATGACTTAGTCGTAAACTTTACTTATTACTGCTGTCATTAGTATTAAATATTTTGACTATATGAATCGCAATATTTTGAAAAAAATGTTGCTACTCAGCATCGAAAATACATTATGTAATACAGTATTTACAAGAAATATTGCTGGAGAACAGTAATTCAGAAATGTGGACAACATCATTTCTGACATCTTCGTTGTTTTTATTTTGAAGTGAAAAAATACCCTTCGAAATGCTGCTGAAACTGTTTAGTCTAGATTGTTCTTCAAAGTCAAAAGAAATCCAAACAAATTCTATGAAGTGAGTATCAATCACGAGCTTATTTCTGGTTACTGGATGGATTTCCTGGACCTGCTGTGATAAGCTGTGATTACTTAAGTCTGCGATGTCGAAGTGAAATGGATGATCATTAAAGGCACTAGTGAGATCAGCGTTATATCAAGAATTAACAAAGTTAGAATTCACGAGTCACTGACTTAATTTTTTTAATTTTTAATTTTTGAATTACAGCTTGATTCCACGCTGTGTTTTTGGTACAAGTATGGAATTTTCAGCATGGATATCGGTAGCCCAAATTTTGCAGGCCGACCATAGACATCAGGTGTGCGTCGGCGTGGGCTCGAACCCCGGACCATATGGATGGTCGGCGAGAGTCCTAACCACTGTGCCACCGACGCACTTCCAGCCAAAGTGGTTGAATAGCCAAGAAGCTTAAGAAAATCGCTATCTGAAGACCCCAGGTTGGACTCTTGTTGCGGTTGTAGTTCTTCATTAATGAACATTTGAAAAGTAGAACGAAAAACAAATTTCCATTCGTTCCTGGTTTTCAGAGATCTCTAAAACTGATGTCGGTTCGCGACGATAATCTAAAAGTTGGATTAAAACTAAGCTAATAAACTATAAGATAGTTAACAAAGCGGAGAAGTAACCTTAGTGGGTCTTAATGCCTTTATTTTGATGTCTAAAAAAACATGTTGTACACGAGCTTATTAGCGAGACCAAATAGCTCAGTGGTAACGTGTCGAACTTCAAGCGATGGGAGACATGGATTCGAATCTCAGAAAGGATGAGGTCACCTTCATGATTTCGAATAATCCATGCTGACGAGTTAAAACATTACTTACCGCCAACTGCCTCCAACTATCTGACAACCCTTCTGAGTGCACCGTGATGGTAAGATACCTAGAAAAGTAACTACACCGTAGGCCTGACT